AAAACAAGATCGGCCCCCTGTCGCCTCTCCTTGTTATTTTTTCCACCTGAGCAGAATCCCTGAAATTAACTCATTTGCTGGTGGACCTTAATGGGGCTTGTGACACAGGAAGAAACAGAATTTAGTCTCTGCCCCTGCTTCCTGATACACACCCCCCCAAAACCCTTGGAATCTCTGAAGGACATGTCTTTTGTATGGTATGGATGGCTATGGGCTGGGGGCTCCTGAATAGCCTCTGAATGGGGGGAGGGGGTTGCCAGGTGAACCAACCAGCTGATTAGAGGACTGGCCCATTGGCCCCAACCTCCTGGGAAGGTTAAGTTAATCACTAAGGGCTAATGATGTACTCAACTGTGCCTGTAATGAAGCCTCCATAAAAAAACAAAACAAAACCTCTAACCAAAAGGTTTTGAGAAGACACACTTCTGGGCTGGTGAACACTCAAGAGGTGCTGAGAGGACATGGAAGCTCTGTGCCCCTTCTCCCATGCCCTGGCCCACTCATCTCTTCCAGTGGCTGTTCCTGAGTTGCATTCTTTTATAACAATGTAGCAATCTGGTACAGAAACTGTTTTCCTGAGTTCTGTGAGCTGTTCTAGCAAATTATCAAACTTGAGGAGGGTTATGGAAACCCATGATTTTCTTTTTTAATTGAACTATAGTTGATTTACAATATTGTGTTAGTTTTAGGTGTATAGCACAGTGATTCCATTACACACACACACATATATAACATTTTTATATTTATAAACATAATCTTTTTCAGATTATTTTCCATCATAGGTTATTACAAGATATCAAATATAGTTCCTTGTGCTATACAGGGAATCCTAATTATTTAGCTATTTTAGAGATAGTGGTATGTATTTGTTAATCCCAAACTCCTAATTTATCCCTGCCTCCCTTTCCCCTTTGATAACCAAAGTTTTTTTCCTATGGCTGTGAGTCTGTTTCTGTTTTGTAAATAAATTCATTCATATTATTTTTTAGATTTCACATATAAGTGATATCATATAACACTTACCTTTGTCTGACTTCACTTAGGATGATAATCTGTAGGTCCGGTTGCTGCAAATGGCAGTATTTCATTCTCTTTTATGGCTCAGTAATATTCCATTATGTATGTGAATACATATACACACACCACATCTTAAACAAATCATCTACTGATGAACATTTAGGATGCTTCCATGTCTTGGTTATTGCAAATAGTGCTGCTATGAACAGCAGGGTGCATATATCTTTTCAAATAGGAATTTTAATCTTTTCCAGATATGCCTAGGAGTAGGATTGCTGAATCATATGGTAACTATTTTTAGTTTGCTTTTTTTTTTAAAGGAACCTCCTTACCATTTTCTATATTGGCTGCATCGATTTACATTTCCACCAACAGTGTAGGAGAGTTTCCTGTTCTACACATTCTCTTCAGTATTTATCATTTGTAGACTTTTTGATGATGCCATTCTGACCGTTGTGGCTTGATACCTCATTGTAATTTTGATATGCATTTCCCTAATAATTAGGGATGTTGAATGTCTCTTCAAGTGTCTGTTGTATGCCTTCTTTGGAGAGATGTCTGTTTAGATCTTCTGCCCATTTTTTGGTTAGGGAACCTGTGATTTATATCCTTTCAAGGGTAAGAAGTAGAGGTGACAACTTGGACTTGTAACTGGAGTCTTAAAGAGGAGGGAAGAGAGGGAAACTCCTGTGAGACTGAGCCCTTAACTTGTGGGGTTTACCCCATTCCAAGCAGTTAGTGTCAGAGTTGAGTTCAACTGTTGGTGACTGCTGAGAATTAGAGAATTGCTTGGTGTGGAGAAACCCACACATTTGGTGTCACAAGTGAGTGTAGAGAAGAAACAGTTTTTTCCATTGTTGTTTAGTTACTGAGTCGTGTCCAACTCTTGTGACCCCAAAGACTTCAGCCCACCAGGCTCCTCTATCCATGGGATTCTCCAGACAAAAATACTGGAGTGAGTTGCCAAGACCTCTTTCAGGATATTTTCCTGACCCAGGAATCAAATATGAATCTCTTATTTCTCCTGCATTGGAAGGCAGGTTCTTTATCACTAGCACCACCTGGGAAGCCCATGGGAATACTTGTCAGGAGTTAAAAGTCTTCATAACTGAACCAAGCAATTCTCCTTCTAGGTATCTTTCCTAAGAAAATATTCAGAGTATAAGGAGGATAAATATGTAACAACACCCCCAGAAACAGCCTTAATGTCCAACAATAAAACTAAATAAATTATAAAAGCTTCCCTTGTCATGGGAAAATGTCCATGATATGTTAAGGATATAAAACAAAAATATAGTTATGATCTGTTCTATGCTAAAATCATTTATAGCAAGTTGTAAAGAAAGCATGATACTTCTCCATATTTCAAAAAATGAAGACTTTGGAACCTTCAAGAAGAGAACAGGACTATTAATATTTGATAATTACTCCAGGAAGGCTAAGAAAACCTTTCCTTCAAAAGGCTAAAGGATATGTATGATTCCAAGTTTTTCCAAGAACAGTCTCCTCACCACCTAACCTGGGATGTGCTTGCTTTGAAACTATTAAAGTGCTTCCATGTTTTTGTGGTGACTCCGAACCTATCTTCATAGCTTTTGCTGCTTGTTTGTTTGTTTTAAATGCTGCAAAGGCAAACCCCTTTAGATCGTCAGTAGCCTTTTAATGCAGTGTGCTTATGCAAACATTGCCACACTTCCTAAATACTGTTTCAATCCAGTTGTGATGAACATTTTTGGGAATTAACTCCTATAACAAATTAAAGACAGTATTAAACATGTAAGGATTTCATAACTATCATCTTACTCAGAAGGTCAATACATTTTTAATTTCGAATACTGATTTTTTTTTTTTAATGAAGACTCTGAGAGGGATATAAGAAGGAAGGAAAGGAAGAAAGCAAATGACACGTATCAGGCAATCCAAATGTGCCAGGTCCCTTAGGTTCATCACTTTATCCCACTATCACAAAATGTATAAGTAACCCCCTCTTTTACTTTGGCTCTCTCTCTCTTTTTTTGATGGATGAGAACACAGGAGCTCCAAAAGTGCTGAAGGAATTCCCAAAGTCTCAGGGATAGTCAGTGAAGGATTTGGCCCAGCCTGTCCTGCTCCCAAACTCATGTTTTTGTGGTTTTTTTTTTTTCACCACATCTTGCTGCCCAAACACTTAGGGAGCTTTGGCTCCACTTCTACTGCCATTTGGAGTTTGATTAAAAACAAAATGCGGACCATGTTATCACAAGTGCTTTCAACACACATTTATTTCAAAACCACAGCACAGTAACTACAACGTCAACATAACCATATTTCCAAACTGAGCAGGAAATCACCATTCTTGTGTGCATTCTCCCAAGAAGTGGGGGCTGACTCAGAGGCTCCGTACTGTGAGTAATGACTAGAACCCCCATTCTGAACTAGGAGTTCTAAACCATTAAACATTTAATTACCACTTTGGCAAAGCAATGCACATTACCATTTCTAAAATGTAACAGCACAGAGATTTTAAATGCATCTTTATTTTTCAGAGTCTTCAGTATTCACAATGTGTAAAATGAAGCAGAGCTTTAAATAAAACGCTATGCCAAAACACAGTTCCTTAAAAAGACCCGATGGAGAGGAAGGAAAATCACATATGAATAATATTTATCAATGCTTACAGTTGACATTAACTATAGTTTGAAAAGAATAAAAATACTCAAAACTTCAACAGTCCCTTACAAAAGTATACTTGGCAATAAAATAAAAATCTATAAAACCCCAAATATTACAAAAGTAAAATGCAAAAAAAATCTTTTTATTAAAATGTAATATATTTACATGGTAAGAATTATTTTAAAAAGCACAGAACACTCAGAAGTTGTGATGAGTGTTGGAGGGGAATTTATCACACATCCTCACATTTGGACAGTTGCATAGACCCACCAGGTCGAAGAGCCAGGTCAGCAGTTACACACATCCCCTGGCATGAAGGTTCAGGGTGGGCAGATTTTAAGCCTCCTCCCTGCACCTATTTTTGCTGGAGAAGGAAATGGCAACCCACTCCAGTACTCTTGCCTGGAAAATCCCATGCACGGAGGAGCCTGGTAGGCTACAGACCATGGGGTCGCAAAGAGTCGGACACGACTGAGCGACTTCACTTTCACTTTTCGCTTTCATGCATTGGAGAAGGAAATGGTAACCCACTCCAGTGTTCTTGCCTGGAGAATTCCAAGGATGGAGGAGCCTGGTGGGCTGCCGTCTCTGGGGTCACACAGAATTTTTGCACTGTGTCTCATGCTAGGAGAACATCTTCCCAGGTGCATGCGGTGTCACATGAGGAGAGGCACCTGCTGGCAGGGAGCCTGTGTGTTAACTGGATCTTAGTGTTGCTATTTAAAAGTCAGATTCTGGGAGGAATCTCAAGAGATCATCTGGTCTATCCTTAGTCCTTTGGGACGGTCCCAGCCCCTTCTCTTACTTAGAACCCCAGAGGCAGGGAACCTGCCAAAGCCTGCTGGAGAACTCATTCACGCTGACAGTCAGAACTTCTTTGCTCAACTGCAGCCATTTCAGCCAAAAACCATCCTCAGGGTGGACCAGATTCCAACAGGCAGAGACTCTGCTCTTCCACAGAATGAAAGGGAGTCAGGGGCTTCCGTGCAGCCTGGGCTGGGAGGAGGGGACAGGGAGGGCAGGGACTGCAATGAGACTCAAGGCCAAGGGGAGGCCCAAGGGAAGGGGGCCGCCTCCAGGAAGCCGAGGAACGGGGGAAGGTGAAGCCTCTACAGCACACCAGGACCCCAGTGCGGGCTGTGACGGCCATGGACCATTGCTCCCATGCCAGCAGCTGCCTCTGCTCTGCATCTGCAGCCATCCTGCCTCTGCTTGCCTTCCGGCTCTGACAGGCCTGTGTTGCAGAGCCATGAAAGCCAGAGGACTACAAATGGAGTAAGATCAGACCAGACACATTGTGCCTTGAAAACGGAGGGAGAATAAAAAAGCGCTTAGGCTTTCAGATAGTGATTTTTGTTGGATGAACTTTCTGGTTTGCTTCCAGGAGTGTGACTGAGAGGGTGGAGGCAGATGGAAAAGTCTGAATGGAGTAGGGCTTGCTGATGTCCTTTACTTGGATCTATGTCCACTTGGACCTCATGTCCTTTACTTGGATCTAAGGCCACTTGCACTACCCAAGATTTCTCTGCATCCAAGAAATGGTTTGAAAAGTAATGACTTGGACAGAGCGCATGGAATGCAAAAGGGTACTGAAGACATGAGAGAAAGCGAATGTCTAGATTCCTATCGCTTTCTTGGAGAGGAATAGGAACCTTCACTCTGCCAACCAGGGCTTCCGTGAGGGTGGTTCCAGATGGCGGGCTCCCCCTTCCAGTGTTCCCACCGTCCTGGAGTGTGAAGGAGGGTGATGTGAGAAGACGGTTCCCACCTCCAGCTCCCCTGCATGTCCTCTGCCCTGACTTGCTCTGTCTCCCCATCTTTGGACCACCTCTCTCCTGCCTCCATTCTTTAAAAGCAAAAACTTCTAAGTGCCAGGGAGATGTGGTTCTGGAACAGACGACAGGGTAGGTTGTGGAATATCCATCCTTGGAGAGCTGAAAGAGCAGCTGGTCAGACACGGTACAGGCGGGATGTGCTTGGAAGCAGGAGGTTGGGTCAGATGACTCTGAGAACAAGCCAGTTTCAGGGTTCTATATTTCAGCATCTGCTTCCACCACAACTCCCCGCCTCCACACCTCCTCCTCCACCTTCACTCAGCAGGCATATTAACAAATGCCTGCAGCCTGGCTTCCATCTCACTAACTCCTTCAGTGGGGTCTCCATGCCTACATGGCCCTGGTTCCCTCTTGCTAGAAGGCTTTTCCCTCTGCCTAATCCCATGTCTGAACACTAGCAGATCTGAATGCTTTTGGAGCTTGGTAGTTTTCCCTAAAACTCTTCCATTTCTTTTCAAGCCATCAAGACAGATTTCTTTGCCTATCCCTTCAAAAGCTGTCTAGAGGCACTTTTTTACTCTATGACAGTTACACATAACTGTATACATTGATTAGGGACAAGCATGTGTTTCTAATGGCCCAAGAAAACAGGATTTAAAACATATCTTTCCAAACAGAGTTAAGATCCCATAGACAGTCATAGAAATAAGCTACAAAGCTTCCAACAGCCTTTAGGGGGTATTGCTAGCTTTGAATTACCGTTGTTATGAATGAACTCCTCAGAATATGAATCTCTGTGAGGACCAGGATACCTTCCTATTTGTTTCTGTATCCTCAGAGCCTAGACCAGCATTCAGCATGCAGCAGGAGCCTCGAATATACTGGCTGAATTATGAGATCCAGCTTCCCCTATCCCAGCCCTCCTTCTATCTTTTTAAAAAAGATGATGTGCCTCTCCCACCATTTAACAGTGGTTAGGATGAAATCCCTGCCTGGCTTTATTTTAGAATGTTCTATTATGTTCAAATTGTATTATAAAGTACTCAGAAGCAAAGACCACAGTCTGATATAAGATAAAAGAAGCAATTTTAGAAAAAAATTAAATCTTTAAAAAATGAAATAAATTTCAGGACCTAGATAACAAAGAATTTACTGGTAAAGGTATACTGATAAAAGAGTGAATAGGTAAGGGAATCAGTAGCTGGTTCATTAGAGTAACCTTTCCCCCAATTATAAGGAAGGACAATTACAGGCTTCAGAATGCAGCATGGAACTGCATGTGCCTGGGGATCTTTATTAACCTTGAGTAAAAAACACAACAAACGTGAAGGGGTTTCTGCATTCTGAGATAAAAGAGGGTGAAATGTCAGGGCTAAGATATCAATCAATGTTTTTTTCCCTGGAAAGGACAAGGGTAACTGAATTTCTCTGGGACGTGGAACAAGGATTCTGGGGCACAGACTGAAAGGACAGTGGGGTTATGGAGGGGGATGGCTCCACCGGAGACATTTACGTCATGTAATGAAATGATTTCTCAGCAATAACTTATTGATCTGGAAGAGCAGTGCAGCGTGAACTAGTGAGTTCAGGGAAGGACTGAGAAGAAAGAGACCACCCCAACGCACACCCTCCATTTTAGTTGGAATCCAGTGGGACCAGACACCTGCCCTGACTCTTCCAGACCCCTTCTCCAAGTCACAGACCTTCCTTGACCTTGTATATGTGAAGGTCAAGGAAGTGATTTTGTTTGGGACTTGTAGATGCAATCTTGTGGATGAGGGCAGAATTTTCCTAATACTTAATTTTCATAAGCCTCCAAAAGATTTATTTCTGGTGAAGAGGGAAGTAAGTTTGGAGATGGAGATATTGGCAGTAAATAAACCTATCTGCAGAACTGAAACTTGCCCTTTGGAGCATCTTTGGGTTTCTGAAAAGGCTTAGAAGGCCAGGACTGCACTGTGATGTCATTCAGTTGTGTCTGACTCTGTGTGACCTCATAGACTGTAGCCTACCAGGCTCCTCTGTCCATGGGATTTTCCAGGCAAGAATACTGGAGTGGGTTGCCAGTGTGGCTTACATTTATTCACAGGTGGACGCATCTGAAGGGCCCCTACAGAGCCTCCTGCCCCCAAAGCAGCCCTTCTCTCTCTCATGGGCTAATGTCCCAACTTCTATCGTTAGAAACTCTTTGTTTTGGGTGTTGAGTCTTTGTTCTCTGTTGAAACTTAAATTCCTTTTAGAAAGGAAACGCCCAAGGTCTTATGGGAACTGTATCTTGGTGTGTTTGTATTTGTTAAGCCTTGTTTTTAGAGGAAGGTAGAGGTGCCAACAATCCTCTCAATTTCTCTGTTGAAACTTAAATTCCTTTTAGAAAGGAAACGCCCAAGGTCTTATGAGAACTGTATCTTGGTGTGTTTGTATTTGTTAAGCCTTGTTTTCAGAGGAAGGTAGAGGTGCCAACAATCCTCTCAACCCTCTAAAGGAATAGTAACCCACTCGCCAGACATGGAATGATGGGTAGGTTTGGGATTCCTCATGCAAAAGTTGATTCAGTGCTCCCAGATAGATCCAGGTTCTGTCTATGATGGAAATTCCAATGGAACAGAATACCTTCCCCTGAAACCAGTCATGGTTAATGATAGTATGAGAAAAAAAAATTGGGTTCCAGATACTCATAATTATTTGGGAAACTTGTTGGTTTCTTTTAATTGCTAGTTCAGGAGATTATTTTATTTTTTTAATCTGTCTAAAGTGTCCTGAAAGGTAGAAACATCCCTTGTTTTTCCGATTCTCCTTCACAGGCACACACATAATTACTCTGTATACAGAATGAATAAAAGGGTGAATGAAGGAAGAGTGGATATGTCTATGGCCTGAGAGTTTCGGTAAGTGCCTGGCACCTATAACATATGACTAATGGGACTTTCCTTAATAGAAGCTCCTTGTTTGTCTGAAAAGGTAATGTGTAACTGAAAGGACCAGTGGAAAGGTATTGCACACCTGTTGTTTTTTGTTTTCTACTTTCTGTTTGGTCTGTGTGTGACCAAACAGGTGCATGTCAGAAGCTATAAAACTCTTCAGCAAATAGGACCATCTACTTGACTCTTCTATTTTAGAAGTGAGGAAGCCGGGGTCCAGAGAGAACAGGTGATTTTTCCAAAGCTCCAAGGTGCTCAGCAGCTGCCCTGAAGAGAGAGACTGAGACCCAGGCCTCCAGACCCCCTGGACTTCTGGTTCATCTCCCTGAAAGTTCTTGTACCCTTGTTACGATCTCAGTGAAGCCTGGTTTCCTAACCTGGATGCAGATCAGACCTGACCTGCTGAACCTCTGCTCTCACCCTATAAGAGATCTGCCCAGCTCTCCTGGCAGAACTTGGCTGTTAGAGATGACGTTGTTGCGGAGCAACTTACAATTCTTCAGTGCTGCAACTCTAGAAATATCAGTTCAAGGATCAGCTTTAACCATCTGATCTGACAGTTTGATTTCTACAGGTGCAAACTCACAGCTGACTCACAATGAATCAAACCAAACCAAAGGATGGGTTTCTGGTCTGGCCTGATTCTGGTGAGCAAATGCAGTACTCTGACCTGGCTCCTAGGATGCTATCTCAGCAGCAGCTGACAGATTTTCTCTTATCACATTTGATAAATTTAACAGTCCTTGGATTTCATATATAAAGTCCTTTGGGGAAATAAACAGCACCTATAGCTTATCTTCTAGCAGAGACAATGAATAAGCCATTTCCTCTTGTTGCTGAATGTGTGGTCTGTGTGTTCACATATAGGGGACTCATAGAAGGAGGACTACTGTGCACACAGGTGGGTGTATGTCCGTCACTTCCTGATACTTCAATAGAAGGGAACTGAATTCCTGAACTGGAAGAGACCTCAGAGAACACCTCCGTTCACTCTCATTTCAGAGTTGTGGGTAAATGAGAAATGAAGGGACTTGGTCAGGGTCAAACAGCTGAAGATACCAGGCCTGGCAGCAAGCTGGGTCCTGGGGCTTTCAGGCCAGCTCTCTTTTTCTGTCCTCTCTAGTCTCTCTAGTTCATGAAGAACTGGGCCAGCTCTCTTCAATAATAGTGACAACTCAGATAATGTGGCTTGCTTCCATGCATAGTCAGAAATAAGTAGGAAGATACAATCAGAGACGGAAAAGCTGGATGGTAAAGAGGGCAGGAAAGAAAGTGACCGAACAGAGCTCAGATCTCATCCTGCTACACTCATCGGTTTTACTGGTTGCTTGAAAGTTACAAGAGCTAAGGGAGGTGAGAAGGAAAACAGCATTACCAGAATCTTCATTAGCTATTATGATTATTTTTAATGGGATTGTATAGGTTGTCCTCACAACTTTCTGCTTTTCACAGCATGGCATGTTTCTGCTGAGGTGGGGGCCAAGCAAACTGTCAAGAAAATCTGTTTGGATTCTGGGGGTGGGTCATTCATTTTCTTCTCTCATGAGGCATGGACCTGAGTTGGTGGCATTAAAAACTGACTGTATTTCCAACAAGAAAACCAATATTGCACATTGAAATTCACCTTTAACCTTGAGAATATGATAGAGCTTGATGGCACATAACCATGAAATGTCTCTATTAACCACTGCTATGTTTGACACAGATTTGTCTTAGAGAAAAATAAGGAGCTCAGAAGCTCCTGCCCAGAGTGTTAATGCCAACATGGTCTTAAGAAATAGTTCCCGAGATGACTTGATTTTAAATCCTAAGTTTTTATGCTTATGTATGAAAATACATAGAAAATTTTCTAAAAGGACTCAGAGGGACTACTTCTGAAAAGGAGAATGGATTAGCCAGCACATGTTTGGAGGTAGACTTCACTTTATATTTCTGTACTGGGTATTTTACAATGGGTATACACTCATGTGTGTTAATTTTCAAAAACTGAAAAAGAAAGAAATTTTACTTAAATTATTTCTGGTTTACACATTGATCACTTATGGAAGGAATGCTGGTCTAGGAGTCAAGTGATCTGCTAAAACCGAGCTGTGTCATGTAACCTAAGAGATTCTTTATTTACTT